CCTCCATCACTTGTGAACCTCTCAGAAATACCGGGCCAGGGGATGGTTCTGGGGTGTTCTCCTAATAGGTGAACTGAGAAGGGTTGGAAGCTTCCACTAAACAATGCCTCCTTCGTCGTGTCTTCACATTTCAGTTGAGTTTTTAATAGCTTTTTGGAACTTCCTATGAGGATCCCAGAGGCCAAAAAAACCCAAAAAACCAAACCTGGAGAATTCTTAAGGTCTGTGCTCTGCCAAAAGAAGCCTGGCAATTCAGTTAACAAGATCACTTCCCCTGTTACATGAATTATTGTTGTTTTTAATTAGAAGTAATGCTGTAGTTTGGATGTACAGCACAATGGGGTATAAATGCAGTTCAGCACAGATACGAAAGATGATTTTTCTAATTATAAACCTATTTAGAAGGTGGGTACACTAGAAATGATGAAATGCCAAGCTGCAGATGAGGTGAGCAGGCTGGAATACGCATGCACCCACGCACCCACACTGTCAGAGGAGAGAGAGTGCTCTGGAAAACAGTTATAGATGCATAATTAGTTTAATCTGAAATTAATGCTAATTTCAGCAATTCGTGATGCAGATTCACTATTAGTACTCTAGTCCACTTCCACCACATTGGGAAATTGAGGATGCAAAGTCTTGATGAATTCCTCACCGGAGTGTGCTTGAGCTGAGTTCAGGCACAGGTTTCCAGGGTGCTCTTTGAGCCCTGTGTGCTGGTTTGCTTTAACCCTGTGTCACTGCCTCCTGCTTTGGGATTTCACATGGATTTTGGGATTTTACATGGTGTTTACTTTGTGATAAGACACACTCTGTGCTAGCTGGGTGTCAGCACTCATCCTTTCCAGCCTCCTGAGCAGGAGCTCTGAATTAAAACTGGGCGGGGGGACACAGCAAAAAAAGGCTGCATAAGGAATGGTTGGGAAATGACACTTAAAACCATTACCCTGAAGTCAAATATGTAACTTCTTTGTTAAAAATAGACAGGACCTTGACTCATCTAGATGGAGTAGTGGGTGCTTGTTGCTTCAGATTTTGAAATTCTGGGAATTGTGCAAAATATTTAATGAGCCTAAAATCCCCTTTGTGCATTGTTGATAGTAGTGATGGTGAGACAGTTTCAGTGGGGACAGAAAAACCACAGGAAGACGAAGAGCAGCATTGGTGTGTGAGGGATGTTCATGGACTCGGAGCTGGAGGCTCTGAAAAACCCCATTCCTTTGTTTCACCAGAGTTTGTGAGGTTTAACTTGTGGGTATTGATGTGTTCGAGTGGGATAGGACTTTTGTTCCCAGAGACTGCATCTTCAGCCTGTTGTTTAGAGGAGATTTACCTGATACACCCCAAACTGATCTAATTACAAACTTAACCTTGTGAAAATGGCATAAACTCGGCAGACCTGCCTGGCTAAAGCATGGAAGGTTTTTTCCTGCTCCTGCACCACCTGAAGTGTTTGCTCAGTTTCAGAACACAAAGGCGATTATATTTTTCAAAGCCAAGCCAATAAATGGAGTGTAACCTTGAATGCCTCCTCGCAGGAGTAGTCACATGTGTTTTGATTAACTCCACACTAACGCCGTATACAAACAGCAATTCTGCTGCGCTCACAATTAACGGGCCTCGGATCTGCCTCTCCTGGCGATTCCTTCTGCAGCCAGAGAGAGACACCTTCAGTGCACAAACCTGCAAACCCATCCCGAGCCCACGGTCTGCAGAGCCCTGCAGGAGCCAGTGATGGATACAGGGCACTGCAGAGGAAAACCCAGGGCATGAAGCTGGAAGTGTTGTGGTTTTGGAGTGACCCAGACCTCTTGGAGTCATTCATAAATCATGGATTTGTGATTGATTCTCACAAATCACTCCTGTTACCCAAACCCTGCTGTTCCATCCCTGGAAGGGGCAGAGGGTCTGAACCCACCAATGCTACAGTGACTCCCTTGCTGTTTGGGGGGGTGTCTGTATGTCCCTATTGTGAGTAGTCTCCAGAAAGCAGATTCTGAATTTACTCACAGGAAAAGATAAAGATCCTCAGTGACTTTCACTGGAGGAACTTCAGACTGGGGATTTCGTTTGGGGCTTTTTGTTACAATAATAAGAAAATAATGATAATGAGTGGTTTTTCTTCAATATATACATAACTGCTTTTATAGAATTGTAGGGTTTTTTTGCTAAATATATGCTGATTTATTTTCTGAGCCAAATGAGTGTTTTGATTTAAAAAAGCCTTTAATTTTAGAGAGCAGCTAAAGTTACCAGTGCCTGTGATCATTGGTGCCTCTGACTCTTTGTCATCTGTAGTGTTTACACCAAGGGTACTTCATTAAATGTACTTTAACCCTTTGTTTGTCCTCCTGAAAACAAACACAGATCTGTGGTGGAGAGAATTATTATGTTGGGTAGTGAGACCATCACTGGGTGAACCAGAAGGCTTTATTGGAGCCCTGTTTCCTGCAGAGGGTACTCGGTGAGGAACAGGCTGCCCTCACAGCCATTGGCAGTGGGAGATTTGGGGCCTTTCTGGTTAATGTGGGTTTTCTCAGCACATCGTGTTTGACCAGAGTGTTTGGCAGCCTTTGGCTGTGACCCTCAGGCTGGCAGGGTGTGCTCCCAGTGCCCAGACTGTGAGTGCAGTGCCCTGCTCCGGGGAGCCTTGGGCCCAGCAGGACCCGGGCTTGGTGCTTTCCCTGAGGAAACCTCTCCTCCTGTGGTGTCTGCTGGGCTGCTGAGGGAGGATGTGCAGGTCAGAGGGGGGGCTTTGTCTCCAGCCGGTCCGAGTCCCGCAGTTATCCAAAGGCTGGAAACTGGGGAGGCTGTACCAGCACAGGCACGTGTGGAGAGCAGCTCCCCTGGCACGAGTGTCAGCACCACGGCAGCTCCTCCCTGCTGAGGTCCCACGAGGACCTGAGCTGGGCACAGGCAGCTGCCATGGCTCCGTGGTGAGGGCTGGTCACCCCCTCCCCTCTGCTGGGCACGTCCATCCCTGGGCAGGGCAGAGCTGAGTCCAGACCTGCCGTGTCTCCGGGGATCCCGAGCTGGGTGAGAGGGAGCTGAGCGGTGGCCGCTGGCTGAGCCCAGGCGGGTCTGGGGGCACCCGGGTGCCTGTGCCACAGGTGGGAGGCAGGCAGGGAACGCAGGGAATCCTGCTGCTCAGGCACGTCGGGATCAGAGGAATCGCTCAGGCTACACGTTTTCTGTTCTGGTGCTGGGGGGAATGTGGTAACAAAGCAATTGAACTGTCTCTTCAGGGAAACGTAGATTGTAAAAGCAGACTTAATTTTGTGCTTCACTTTGGTACCAAAGAGCTGATTTCTGAAACCATTTCCCAGCTCGCAACACATCTCTAGGCATTAAAATGTTGTGAATTTGCTTGTCATTACCAATATTTTCTTTGACTGAAGCTATTGAAACAAAGTGGTCTTTTTCTTTTTTTTTTTTCTTTAACCTTCAATCTTGCTTCTAAAAGCAGTAGCTCTCGTTTTCTTTCTTTCTTGGTCAAATATAAAAATGATGATAATTTCAAATACTGCTTTAGAATAATTGCTTTCCTCCCTCTTTTGTATGACAACAGAAGCTTGGCCTGATCTTAAATCAGATGCTGGCAGGCAGAGGGCTCTTGACAGCCCTGCAAAATCCTTTAGTTACAAGTCGGCTTTCGCCAATTCTTTATTTGTAAATGACAATTTTCTACAGAAAAATATATGCTTGGGCTTCAATTTCGGAGCCCTAGATTGCAGCCAGGAAAAAATAATTGAATTTTTACACAGTTTTTTTTTTCTCTTTCTTTTTCTTCCTAACTTGAAAAAGAGGGGAAAAAAATGAAGTGGACTTCTGTAAGGCTGATGGAAGGGAATATCTGGTTAATGAGAGTCATGCAGCATTTTTCCCTTCAGTCTCAGGAAGTTGGCTGCTTCACCCAGTTTCCAGAGCAAACAAATTTAAGCATTTCAATGCATGAATTTTATATTGGCACATTCGGTTTCCTGAGTTAACGTGCAGTGTTGACTCAGACACCTTTGTATGGTGGGTTGGCTGCTGCTGGGCTGTCTCCAGCTCTAAGGCCATGGTCTGATCCCAGCTGGGGTGTTTCCCCTCTGCCCAAGTGTGCCAGGATGATGGGGGCCCTTGGGAGCATTGCCCTGGATCTGCCCTGACTTCGGGGGGCCCACAAGGGTCAGGGGGTTTGGGATCAGCCCACCAAAGACACCAGCTTCCCCTGCCATCGTTGGGGTTTGTGTCCATGGGCTGATCCTGCCCAGCTTGGAGGGCTGCAGGTCGTGGATGATGGATTGTGGGATGGTGTGTTCTCCGTAGGGAATCCAGCACCATCCCTTTGCTTTGTGTGGACCAGGATCGGGTGCACGTGGGTCAGCAGAAGAGCTGGGTGCTCTGCTGGGGTCTGGGGAGCGCAGGTGGATTTCTGCAGGAGCTGATCCAGCCCTGATGGGTGGTGACACTGTGAGCTGGAGTGTGGGTTGTGGCAGCTGGAGGATTCTGCATCGGCAGCTCTGGCTGCCTTTCATCATTTGATTATTTTTAAAGTAACCGTGCAAGTTCCTTTTAAACTGACCCATGGAAACTTAATAACACATCCCTTCGATTTGATGTAATTGCCTTTTGTCTGCCAAAGAGAATTCACCCTGTCTGTAGGAAGAGGAGGGGGAAAGGTGCGTTGCTTTTGAGGCAGTAGCTATGAAGATATGATACTTGGACTCCTTTTTCACTTATATTTGCATTGAGAAACACAATAAAAATCATTTATTAAAAAAAAATATCCGGGGGCTAGAGTTGTTATTGAGAGCCTTTACTCAGCCATCTCTCAAATAAAAACAAAACAAGACAAAGAGAAAGAAGTATCTAATCAAATCGAATCGAAATTGCTTTTGTAAAGAAATATTCTCATTATCTGGGTTAGGGATGGGATCTGAAGAATATTTCTTTTTTCCACATATTGTTTGAAATAATCTGGTTAAACCGTGTGCTTGTCTTATAATTTCTTACAGATGGTCACAAGAACAAAGAAAATATTTGTAGGTGGATTATCGGCTAATACGGTAGTGGAAGACGTGAAGCAATACTTCGAACAGTTTGGCAAGGTAAGTTCTGCCCAAGTGAGCACTACACAGTTCTTTCTTTCCTTTCTTTTTAAAGTGTGTTTCGAAAAAGTGCAGTCAGGGCTGGGCTCAGAGGAGGGCCACAGTTTTTGCCTTTCTGTGTCATTTCTCGAAGCCTCTGGAATTCCTCTTCTGTTCACTGTGTGTGTCTGTGCACAGCATTGCCAGCACTGTTTACTTCCAGTGAAGTTAAAAAGGCATCATCGAGAGGTGGATCTGTGTCTGTTCAGGAAGAATTTGACCCTCAGCTGAATGATTATACAGCTGTCTTCTCCATAAAATCAGCCTTCTGTTTACCTTGATTGCAGTGGCAAAAGGGGCAGATAGATGTATGGGAGAGCTCATTAAGTTGTGAAAATGCCTGAAGGAACCACGTGAAAAGCAAAGAGTAATGTGGAAGCCACTGGAATATCCACTTAATTTCTTAGTGGAAAATCCTTATGCAAGATCCTGTGCAAATGCATGTAGAATCCTGACATCATTAAAAAAAACCCCAAACCAACCAAAAACCCAAACAAGTTTATGCACAGAAGGAGCTCTGAACCTTCCCAGAATAGTTTTTGCTGTGATGTGACGACTCAAACCCCACAGTCCAGGCTGGGGCTGGAACTTAGTGCCCCTGATTTCCATGGAGTTCCCTGGGTACCCAAGGCTTTTGGACACTTGTTCAGGAGTCTGATGGGTGAAGAGCTTGCAGAGCTGCCTGCTCTGAGAGCAGTTGGTGGTGCCACCTTCCATGGAGACTCATGCCAGCCCTGCTGTCCATGGGGCTCCATGGGCTCGAGCTCCATGGATTCCAGCTGAGCAGCTCGGTTCCTGTCCTCTGGAGTGCAGCCATCGATGGTTTAGATGCGAGATTGCGTGAGGACCCAGCGGGGTATCCCAGAGCAAAGCAGCTCCCATTCCTTGTAGTTAGTTTATGTTTCTTTTATCTGCCCTGAAAAGCCTGAGCCAGGCAGGATTTTGTCGAGGACTGAGGAGGCGAGTTTATAAATGGTTCCTGTGCTGGATTGATAGTTGTTTTGCAAACCAGTCATTTTATTTTCAATAATAATCTTCGATTCCGGCAGGATGTTTACAGCCTGCTGAGCCTTTTATTAAAGGATTACATGAGCTTTTGGATGTTTCTTCTGTAGTTACTTCTAATTGCAGAACTCCACTAACCTGTATTTTTGAAGTTAATAATAGTTTCAATATAAGCGCTTTGCATATTGTCTGGATGTTGTCTTAATATAGTCTTTTTAATTTCACCATCTGGTAGTTTCATGCTTGCAATTTTACAGTCCCTGAGAATGCAGACAGCCAGGCTGTGTCTCAGGAGTGACTGGGGATTCGGGACGCTTCGGTTCTGCTTTCGTGCTCTGCCTTCCTTGAGACAGCTTAGCAGAGGTTTGCCTCTCCAGAGGCAATACTTTGGGAAAATCAAATATTTTTTTTCAGGTGTCTTAATTTGCAGGCTAAAAAAATTAAGGAGCTGAAAATTGCATGAGTTGGGGTCAAGGCAGGGACCCATTCCAGTGACAGCACAGCTAGGATGTCCTGCTGAGGCTGTGTGGCCCAGGCAGTAGAGCTCAGCTCCTGCAGGGCTTGGTCCCTGTTATTCCAGGTGACTTTTTCCGGGTGCATCCCTGTTTGACACTTCCCTGTTGCAGCTCATGAAGAGTTTGGTGCAGCTGGTGGTGTTGGGAGCAGAGGTGCTGGGCTGTGTCACCCTCCCTGGACCTTGGTGTGGGCGTTGGGGTTCTCCCCACGGCGCTGTGCTCTTTGGCAGCTGGGACAGTCTGGTTTCAGGGTGTTTTGAGGTGATCCTCCCCGAGGCTCAGGTTGTCAGGAGATGCTGGTTTAATGACCCTTGGAAATGGGAACTTGTGCTCCAACTCAGTTAGAAGACTGGTTAATGTGCTGTGGATGGTGGGATGCTGCATTCAGATACAGTGACCCAGGACTGGCCCTGTGGGACCTTCTGGAGCCCTGTCCTTCTCCATCCCGCTCCTCTGCTGCTCCGTGACTCCCTTGCTCAGCTCTCCAGCCCTTTGGGCAGGGCCTGCGCCCTGCTCAGAGCTCCAGTCAGGCCATTGCCATGCAAACAGTGATCCATCGATAGGTGAGCTCTGCCTTTGCTCAGAGCTTTCTTGAAATAAAGCAAATTGCATGACATGATTAACGTGCGAGGAACCGCCCGTGTTTGATAAGAGCATCTCAGGTGAGTTGCTCTTTGAAATGCTGAGCTTATTTATCGGCCTGGAAAAAATTGCTTACTGTGATTCCTGAAATCCTGTTTGTACTTGCTGTGGAGAGGAGCTTGGCAGCCAAGGGAGGCTGTTTTGGTAACTGGAGGTAGCTCTCTCCAAACACACAGTGTGAGCAGAGCAGCCCCCAGCTCTGGGGCCAGGCGGGCTCGCTCGTGTAACTGGAGTTGGCAGGGAAGGGATAAAGTGTTGAATTTGAAACTGCAGCTTTTTGAAAAGTCAGTGCCAGAGCCTTTGTCTCCAAGAAAAAGAAAAGCTTTAGTGAACACTCTTCCTGACTTCAGTGAAAGTGCCGGACGTTACAGCACCAAAGTACGTGGTAACAATAATGCTGAGACTTGGACAGTGAGATTTCTCATAGTGATTATTTTTCTTTCTGTAAAGCCCAGGATCTGTAGGATCCTTTTGGGAAGGTTGGCATTCCTAGCTGCTGTAATCTGTGGAGGAAAACAGGGAGAAATTACCTGAGTGAAGCCAAAAGGCTTCACAGGGTGAGCACAGAGCAGTGTAGTGAACAGCTTTGTGATTGCTTAGAGCTGGTGAGGCTGAACTTGTGCACCTGCAGTTGCTGAGGGGGCTCCCCAGAGAGGCTTAGTGGGGTCTTTGTGCCAGGAAGGGAGTCAGGGTGCTGCAGAAGGGAAGACTTGTCCTTCCAGTGGTTTCAGGGAGCAGGATCCACAGAGGACACAAGGAGGCTAAGCCATTATGTTTACAATCAGAAGAAAAACAAGCCATTGTGTTAATCCCTGATCCTGACAGTCTAATGCAGTTGTTTGTGGGATCCTCTGCTGTTTCAGTCAGAGATGTTTAAAACATCCTTACAAGCAAAATAAATTCACTGGCCATGTTGACCTGTCTAGGCTCTGTAGCATCACCCTTGTGCTGGGTGGGAAAAGCTGCTGAGACCAGGCTTTGAAAGAATTTAAATGAGAAGTGTTAGAGGTGAGGAGATCCAAGGGGAAACTCTGCAGGGCTCGCATTCCTCCCCTGGGGGGCCACAGTGCTGCCCTGAGCCATCAGCAGGACTGGGGCTGCGGGTCTGCCTGGTTTGTGGCTTTCTGGGAGTGTAAGCAGTGTGGAGCTCTGAGTTTGGGACACGTTGGAGCATTTAAGACTTCAGGTATCATTTAAAAAAAGAAAGCACAACAGCCTCCTCAAGCCTTACCCAGAGGACTGTGACCAGCAGGAGAAAGCCCTGAGCACTAATGAGCTGCACTTCTCAGGACCTCGTGTTCTGTACCTTCCGAGCTGCAGGCACTGATGAGGAGGGTTTGGAGGGTTCGTTTTCCCAGGTGCTGCTCCCTTCACAGAGCTCCTGTGAAAGCAGCACAGTCCTTCGTTTGCTACTTGCAATTATACTTCACATGGCGAACTGTGTAATTAGTTTGGAAGACTTATGCCTAGTCATTGGTTTATCCTAATCGGCTTTGGCTTTTCCCAACAACAAAGTGAGCTTATTTTCCTAAGCTGAAACAACTCTGCTCCCTTTGTTCCTCTCTTTTATTGTCTCATTCCTTTCATTCTGTTTTACTGCCAAAGTTTTGTTTCATTAGGCCTACAAGTCATTTCCAATCCAGTGGGCTGCTACAATAAGGCCTTTATAACTCAGCTGCCCTGGTTCCCATGTCCCTTCTGGTCCAGAGCCAGGACTTGCTGTTTGACATGGGATTTTAACCCTTTGGCTGCCCTAGCTGCTGGTCCCCCCTCGGTGGGGCTGAGCCAGGCTGGAGATGGGGCTGGCAGGGACCCCTGATGAGCTCATGGATCCTAATGATTGCGTGAGGCTGTTAATTGACACGTTAATGTGCTCGGGCTCCAGGTAACGCTTTTGGGCCCAATTATTGAAACAGAATTCTGATTAAAAATCTTCTTACTGTAATGAGTCACTGTGGGAACAGTCTTTGGAATGAAAAGGCCACTGTGTCCTTCCAGCATGGTGGGAACAGTTCTGGTAAAGGTACATTTCAGTTGTCCTGAGCTCTGGATCAGCCCATGTACGACTGTTCTCATAGAAAAATCATGTTTTCTTGTGTGGGAGAGAACACATTTAAATTTATCCTTTTTTGAACCAGAATGGTGATTTTTGAAGGAGATGCGTGAAATAGTTTTGTGGACAAACAATGCTTTTACAAATTGTTATTTCAGACTGCTGGAAGAGCAGTTGGTGGCCCCAGATGTTTTACTGCTTCTAAAACTCTCGGCTTGGGATCATTAGGCTCTTCATTTTTCCTTTCACAGGAATCCTAAAGTGACTTTTGGGGAAGGGGGCTGTGGCACTTGTTTTTTATTTTAAATTTCCAGATGAAGTTGAACCAGCAATATACATTAAATTTATTTTCTGTCCTGGCTTGCCACAAGGTCCCTCAGACTGATCGTAGGCATGTTCCAGCTCCACTTGGAATATGTTGTTTCCTCAAGAATAGCTTTTAAGATTTGGAAATTTTGAGACAAGACAGGATTTCTGAATTACCTCTCTGGATCTGAAACATTTTGTACAGTCACTTGTTATTTCCTGTGAGATGCAGAACAGACCAGTGGAATAATAAAAACTGGATTCTGAGGTTGTTCTTTTTCGGTGAAACTGTTGAGCTTTTGAAAATGTGTAATTTTCTCGTCTCTTCCTCCTGTGGCCTGACTTAGTGACTAGAGGCAGTTAAGCAAGTGAGAGGAGGTACCTTCTCACACCTGTCCTGGCTCCAGGCACACCTCCACAGATCCATGGTGCTGCCTCAC